AAAATATTTAGACGAACAGAAGGTGTAGCAATAGGATCAACAATATCCCCTATCGTAGCAGATATCTTTGTGGACATCTGGGAAAATATTGCTCTTGATACACTTAATCCTACGCCAAAAATATGGTGGAGATATGTGGATGACACTTTCACAGTGTTAAAAACACAGAACATATCTCTAGCTTCTTCACATATATAAACGCACTAGTAAAGGGGATAACAGTTCACATTTGAATCGGAAAATGGAGAATTAACAACCGTAGATTGTGAAATATAACAAACAGAATAAGGTAAACTGTAAACTAGCGTGTATAAAAATCCAACCCATTCCAATAGATGTTTGGACTATAATTCACCTCATTCTATTTTTGTAAAGGCAGACTTAGTTACGTGTCTAACAAACCGAGTAATAGCACTTAATAGTACAACAAAAAACCTAAACGATGAAATGAAACAGATAGAAGAAGCCTTGGTGTTCAGTAACTATCCTAAAAAATTCGTTATGAACATCAGAAAAGGTTAAAGAAAATAGCGAAATTAATAATGATAACATAAATGAGAAAGAATATAAGGCATCTACAGTTTTACCATATAAGGAGAGGACATCTGAGACCCTGCGTAGGATTCTCAATAGAGCAGAAATTAGGGTGGCATTCAAACCTACAAACTCACTCAGGTAGGACAAGATCTGTAGGTTAAAGGTCCCTGTAGGTTGACCCAATTAGACAAAATAATATAATTTACAAAATACCTTGCAATGACTGTGAGGTCAACTACCTAGGTCGGGAGTAGTCAGATTGTCAAGACAAATTCCCAGTTACGCATTTAAAAATAACACCAGATTGAGAGAAGAAATATGTTCCTTTTCCATTAGTTCCCCATCATTGGCTCTACGCATAAGAATTTAGCTAAGGTTAGAATGACTGACTCCGCGGAGATAAGTAACTTAGAGAGAAAATCAGTAATTGCACTACATGCATTAACACACAACCACACAATAGGGTGAGACAGGGTTAAAATTCTAAGGAGTTATTTGGATAGATGGAGAGAGAGGTTGATTACTGAATCCTTGTTCATAGAATCTACTCCCAACACGAGCAATAGGAATGACTCATCATTCATACCAGAAATATGGAAAATGTTACAACCAATCAAATCGAGAGATGAGAAACAGTGGAACCATAAAAACGGAGTTAGAAAGGTGTGCGAGTAACTTGATATGATTATGAGCATTAAACTGTGTTCAAAATGTCATCAGTAAATATTACTGCACAACTCTGTGAGACTTATGTAAAAAATTATATTAGTAAAATCTCAGCGATATTGAAATGAGTAATTCCAACGTTTCGTTCGGCAATCTGGTCCGAACTCCCTCAGGGAAATTAATCAAAATAAACATAACAGAGGTTTATATATAAAAGGCACATTTTTTTTGTTTCTAAAATCTTTGTCCAATCATGATATATAAAACAAGTATTAACAAATATAATAAACAAAATTGCATGAGCTGTGATCAAAATTTGACCTCGGACTTACAAATATTGGTCTACCTTTGTTAAACACTTTAAACAGAGTGTGCATGTGTGTGTGGGTAGACAGTTGTAAAACATTTCTTAACGTCTCCATAAGAAGATATAGACAGTCAGGAATTTGACCAAGTATTATTAATTAGTGATACATATCCATTTTTATTTATTAATCAGGACTTAATCGAAATAAATTTTATCCACAATGGAATTCGGACCACTTTGCCGGGAAAAACGCTCTTGTTACTGATGAAAATATACCCGAGATTTCTGAAAATATACATCTGTTTAGCTGTATTTTATTGGATTTAGCCTTGATGACAGTTATTTCACACCACCCACAAGTATACGCTCCATTTGATCTGTAATCGACGATGGACACTAACAACTTAGTAAAAACTTTTCTTCCTATAAAGAATGGTTTCTCAAAACACTTAATTAAGCGAATCTCAACACCAATGACACTAACATTAGGCCTACAAGGAATCTAACTCGAAGCTAGTCACTAGACATCAAAATATCAAGTCAGTTAGGATTCGTTTGATTCTAAGGTGAATATGATACTGAATCGATGCTAAACAGAGAACTGTTTGAAGTTACAATCCATTGGATTCCAAACTACAGTTTGAATGGTAATACATACACTCGATAACCTAATAGCCCTAACTTCGAGAAGGCATAGGAACGTCACTGTGCATGGCCAAAGACTCTCATACAGAAAACAGAGAGCTTTCCAGTACCACATAGCTTTCATTGGCTCTACAACTGACTAACGACCACTCGTGACGTCTACTTTGAAATTTTACTAGTATATGACGCAGGCACTTATTGCGGCAGTAAATTAGAGTGGACAGAATGCGGCATGATTCCGTAAATTAAGAATAGAACACCATAAACTTACTACATCAGAATTATTTACGGAAAATTTGCACTGAATTTTTGTGCCACATAGTTTCACAGTGCACAGTTTTCTATAGATGGAACACATATCAAATAAAAGACAGAAACTCTACAAATCACTTATCCTTATAGGATAGAATACAATAAAGAAAACTATGCACACCGACATTAAAAATAATTGAGGGTCGAACTGTTCAACAATTAGCCAGGAAAAAATAAACCTGAACACCATGATAATAACATCTATGGTTATAACTGAAGATGTTGCAAAGTATCTCTTACCACAAGAATCCTCAAATCAGACACCTAGTTCTGCAGCTTTCTAAATATGCTAGTTACTTAGCTAATATTATATTATTACTATAGTCCCCTGGGATTCCACGTGGAACGCAGGGCATCAACAACACATCTCCACTGTGACCTTCTGTCCGCGGTCCTCTTAAGCTGACCGCTACTTCCCCGTAGTCTCTCATCTCCTCTCTGCGCAATCTCCTCCATATTAACCTCGGACGCCCCACTCGTCGTTTCCCATTCGGGTTCCACCCAAGCAATGTCATTCGACGGTCTCTTCAGTGTGTTCCAGATGCAACTCTTATTTTCTTCTACATATTTGTTGAACAATCAGTTCTTGGTTGGTTCACCCCCACCGTATCTTGTTGCTGATTCTGTCTGACCGGCTGGCCATTTGAACTTCTGTATGGAGCAGAGGCAGCTTTTGATGAGACTCTGCAACCTGTGATAAATGCTTTCCGTTACGCACCAAGTTTCTGACTGATAAAGAAGAATTGATTGACTTAGCCTTTGTGTTCAAAATCCGAATCTTGTTCCTTATGTTGAGTGCAGGAAATTTCCAAATTGATTTCACATTGATAAAGGCGTATCTTGCCTTTCCTATTCTGACTGGCTTTGACATCTTCATCCGTTCCGCCTGTAGTTGAAATGATGCTTCCTAGATAAGTGAAGGAAGTAACTTCTGTTAAATCTCTCCCATTGATGGTGATTGGTGATGGTTGTTTTTGTTACTGTTGGTTGGTTATCTTCATCACCTCCGTCTCCTCTGTGTTCACCTGCAGTCCTGTTTCGCTACCTGCCTCTCCAGCCAGTTTATTGGTTTTCGCCTGTAAGTTTTCGAGTTTGTGTGACATCAAACACATACCATCGGCAAAATTCAGGCCTTCAAGAATCTCCTCATCAAGACAACGTATTGCTTTCATCTCGCAACCCACAGTCTGAAGTATAATCCGGTCCACCATAATCAGAAATATCATCCGTGATAATAGACAGCCTCGTCTTAATCCTGTAATCAATTCAATGGCTTCACTGAGTTTTCCGTTGTGGACCACCTGATACGTGACATTGTCATGTGGTTACACTGAATGAGGTTGACAGAGATTTGGGGCACTCTTCTTTGGCAGTTCAACTAGATAATCTTTCTTCCAGTCACTAGGTACCTTTACCTCCTTTCAAACTTTTACTTCGCTAATATGATAAATGTAAACTAAATCACAATAGTACTGATTTACTAGGGAAAAAAAGAATATTACTACTTGAACTTGTTTATTTGAACAATGCACGCCTTTTAATTATATATATGTATATATATATGACATAGGCAACCTAAAAATAATCACAGCCCACAAAGACAAAAATAGAATAAAGCGAAGTAAAATTCAGTCAAAAGGGGAGAAGAGATTACTTAAACAATCATCATGTTAGGGAATCACTTTGTAAGACACAAAAATATTATTTCCGAAAAAAAAATGGAGACAAAAACAAACAAATATAAAAGTATTGTTGTAATCAATATGATAATAGATCCACATAATTTTACTGAACAGAATGTACTAATCTGATTAAAATTCAATAAAATAATGTTGGTATTCGAGCATTTTAAACGAAAAGCAAAGTATAAATGAATAGATGAAATTCAAAAAATACTCCTTGGACACCCAAATGAAGTTTAATTTAAGCGCGCCCAAGAAATAAATTTATGACTTCAGTTAGGAAAATAAAGTGGAAAAGAGCACGATTAAAACTTTCAATAATGTCTGTATAGAGTCTTTTGATTTAACACAGAAATATTAGAATGCATGATTACAGGTACAAGTCATCATCATGCGAAACTGTCAATGATAAGAAAACAAAATCTTATTAACAATAACGATGAAAGAGAATAAACAATGATACATCAAACACTCATCAAAACTGTCACAGAATGTCAACAATAAGTGAGACAAGAAAACATTTAAAAAGAGGGGATTAAGTAAAATCTGGTTTTTAACTGTACATTGGCTGCACACTTCAATTTCCCTTCCTCTGTCATGTAAACCATAATATTTTCCTTTGTTTTTTTAATATGTATATTAATATCTTGTTAAATCTTAGCTAATAGTGTGAAAATCAGTGTACTAAGTGCATGACAAACTCCACGAAGTAACGATATGGAAAATGTGACATGGTTTGAAAGATTACTATCATTATCCGAAATAGTAAACGGTAAATGAACACACCTGAGGGTCTATGCTACAAGTAATAAAATGCAAAATGAGGAATATAGACAAAAATAAAAGTGATATTATTTTGTTTCAACAGAAGGTTGACTTGTTAACGTGGGTTCTTGTCCACCGACTGTTGTCATCGATGTTACTGAAGCACGACGAATATTCGGTGATGTAAATGGTTTACTCTTTGCGATTCGTTCTGCTGAATTCGGATTCAATGTACCGAGTGATGCGACACTCGGTGAAGCATTAAGGCTTGGAATATGCGTTTGTTCGACCTGATCTTTATTATCATCTAATCCATATAACGAATAAGGGACTTCACGGTTTTCAGAGAGAATTTGCCAACACTCACGATTGCGTTTACAACCATTTAGCAAAGGTTCAAAATTTGGAGACACTTGTACAATAGCCTATAGCATTGAATGAAAATAAAGATAATGGATTTATACTATGATTCAGTAGTGAAATACATCAGTACCTCTATATGTAATTTTCATGACACAAGAAGGTCATATATTTCTCCCAAAAAACTAACCATTTAATCGTATTCTTAATCACCACTCTCCGAGTCGATAGACTGATAAATCTGCATAGTAAATAGCTTTCTTTTGATTCCATAGAACGTATGTTTGTTTATCGAAACATTCTTAAAACATGAATAACTTCATACTTGAGATAAATTCAGAGACCACTAACTCCAATCAAATTCCAAGTTGATCTTTCCTGTCTCAGTGAGTTTCCTTGAAATCCTAGTAGTTTCCAGATATCACATACATACCATCTGATCTTTGCTTGGTGCATACTGAGTTGTACAACTCAAAATAAGAAGAATGCTGGTGTCATTTTGTAATTCCTACAAATAAATCCATACACTGCAGTTTGAATGAAATAAGGCGAAAGGCGTTATGTAAATGAGAGGTGCATTTGATACCTGCTAACTAGTCTTCCGCAATGGAGAACCACTACTGGCGCAACTGTAATATATTTTGGCGGATAACTATCTGTTCCACCTCTTAATTATTTTTTGACAAAACATCCTTGCATATTTAACCAGAAGAACACGACCCTTTGAATGAATCTCAAAAAATAACTCCAATTCAAACAATCAAAGAGAATGAAGTTGTCAATAGTTTACGCGACAACATTTTGTTTTTTATTAGGAGCTCGCCATTTAGCACTAACCACAAACTTTATGAGATACACCGTGAAACCATATTACAAGTTTAAACAGACTACAGTTTGGGACTGTAATTCCTCTCTAAATTAATGCCATAAAGATGCTGCAGTTGAAATGAAAGCATACTACGAGAAGACCTCGAAGCTACCTACCCCAAAAATAAAAAACACCAGCGCTCAGAGCGCATCAAAGACGCACTAAAAGATTTATTTTTGGAAACAGTTACTAATCAGCTAGATAGTACACAGCGATGTCATGTCAATCACATGCAGAATAATTCTATTTTCAGCAATCACAGACGTGCATAGCTCTACGTAACACTGCAGTATCCACCATATTCTAAATGATTACTGTAGATGAGAACTAGAAAGTCACTCGAGTAACTGGAAAGCACTTCTCACTGAACAATTTCGCAGATTTTTGTGAATATAAATAAATATTAAGGGAAGATAAAAAATCACTACAATAATGAATTCCAAAATGTAATCAAGACAATAATTCTCACCTCATAAATAGGCATACATATGAAGTCAATGAAGCTGACTTGTAATTTGGGAAGCTCATTACTGCGTTCACGGTCCATCAAGGCCTTTATGACAAAAAGTGAATAAAACATGCATAAATCCATCAGTATCAACAACAATAATTGAATTTAACAGACCAGAAATTACTTTCAATAGTAAGAATTTAATTTTTAATTTTAAATTTTGATTACAGCTTGATTCCACACCGTATTTTCAGTACAAGTGTGGAATTTTCAGCATGGATATCGGTAGCCCAAATTTACAGGCCGACCATAGATATCGGGCTTGCGCCGGCAGGGGACCGAACCCCGGACGATGTGCATGGTCGGTGAGAGTCCTAACCACTGTGCCACCGACGCACAGTTAGCAGCTTAGTGACTATTCATCACACTGTGTTACAGAAGTAAAGACACAACACTGAGCTGTTTAAGCATAGAGAGAAATACAGCTATTATTTTTATTTTAAACTACTTCATTTGCGTTACGAATAGACTCACACTACATTTTAAACTGAACGTCATATTAGTTTTATTTCTTCATTTCCTTAGATACCTACTCAAATAGTTAGTAGTAGTATCAAAAATAATCTAGAAAAGAAACTTCATCGAAACATATCCACTGGAAGAATGATGAAAAATGATATCAACCGGATTGATCGAAAGTTATGAGCACCTAAAATATCTTCAAAAAGGGGGGTTTAAACTGCTTCGACTTCAGTAGCCTTCATATCCTTTATACAAATATCCACAGTAAACCTAATGCAAAAAAAGTATTGGATTTAGAAATTGCTAAATTGATATAACATATCCAGCACAGTTTGAATCAGATGAGTAAAAATGTAATAGTACTAACGAGTTCGACAAAATAAAAACGTAATGATACCGGAGTGTAAGGCGAAACATAGATCATAATAACAATAGGAGTACAAACAAAAATCTAGACATTTTTAACTAAAATCTTATTCGTATAACTCCTTTACAAAGTCAAGGTCTGAAAGCTTTCAACAGATGAGAAAAGATAATGAAAACCTATACAGTCGGAACACCTTTATTAAATAGCCCTCAATGTACTACAATAGAAATGACTAAAAACACAATGGGACGATGCTATATTTTTCGATAACAACATCCAACCTAAACAGAGGAGAACATACTGAAAACGATGACAGTATTAATGAAATAAAGTAAATCATATTACAAAAGAATAGATACTGAACAAAGAATAGTCTTTTCGATAACTTCATTAGCAGGGTCTACAGTTATATATACATTATAGTGAATGAATGAATGAATTAGTGTTATGAATAACATTAATAGTTAAATAACATCGAATCAATAATATTAATAGATTACAGTTCAATAGCATCAACATAAAATAAGCTGAATGTCAGAAAATTAAGGAAAAATAATATTACAAATTCATGAATTTATAGCCCCCATTGAAGGCCAGGGCAGTAGTAGGGACTGGACTTGTTTCTTGTGCACACAGAGCACTGGTTGCTTGAGGCGAAATGCAATAGCCTCTGCTGTTTGCAGCATGCGGTGCTTCGATGTTTTTGGCAATTTATTAGGCACCCAGTAGAACAAGAAGCCTCTTTATATACGATTGCAATTCAAGGGCGAAATAATTACTAACTCAAGGATGAAATAATTACTAACAAGTTAAGAAAATCTATTCAAAGAACTTTTAATGTTGGTAAACTTCGACCGGAACAGGCTGGATTCATGAGAAACAAGTCATGCATTGATCAGATCGCCACATTACGGATCATCACTGAACAAGGCCTGGAATAGCAGTCACCTCTCTATCTCAACTTCATCGACTTTGGAAAGGCCTCTGACAGCGTCGATCGAGAGGTGATTTGGAAACTACTTCGCTACTACGGGGTGCCACCAACAATTATACATCTCATCCAACAGCTGTACGACAATTCTGCATGCCAAATAATCCACAACGGGAAACTTACGGAACCCTTCGAAGTGAGGACAGGAGTAAGACAAGCTTGCTGCCTACTATAGCCAATGATTTTCTTGATTGCAGTAGACTGGATAATGCAACAAACAGTGGGCAATGAGGAAACAGGCATAAAATGGACTCACACAAAAACTTGGAAGATCTAAACTTCGCCGATGATACATGTCTGATTTCCCACAAACTGGAAGATATGCAAGCGAAAAGCAACAAGTTGGCAGAAGAAGCATCCAGAGAAGTTAGGACTTCAGGTGAACATAGAGAAAACAGAGGTGATGGAGATTCCTGGCCAACACCACCAACAGCAACAACAACAGCAGACAACAATCATCATAAATGGAAGGAACCTTAAAGAAACAACCTCCTTTACCTACCGAACTGGGAAGCATCGTTTCAACTACAGGCCGACGGAACTGACGAGGATATCAAAGCAAGACAAGCTTTCAATACTCTCAAGTCTGTGTGGAGGTCAACAACACTCATCATCAAAAATAAGACCGGATTTTCAACTCCAATGTGAAGTCAGTCAGTGCTACTATACGGATCAGAGACTTGCACTGCGCGTCATAAAGAGCATCTCAAACAAACTACAGACCTTCATTAAAGGTTGTCTTCGCTCAATACTCAAGATCAGATGGCCAGCCAGAAAAGATCAGCAATAGAGATCTCTGGGAGCAAACCAACCAGGAACCGATTGTGCAACAAATAGGCAGGAAGAAATGGAGATGGATTGGCCATACTCTGAGGAAACCATCAAGTGACATCACTAGACAAGCCCTCGAGTGGAACCTGAAAGAGAAGAGGCGAGTTGGTCGTCCAACGGTGACTTGGAAGAGTTATGTGAAGAGGAGATGAAAACGTGTGGGCAGACATGGAGCCAGGTGAAGACTCTAGCAGAGAACCGAACGCAGTGAAGACACACAGCTGAAGCCCTATGTTACTCTAGGAATTAAAGGATACAATAATAATAATATTTTCCACACAACCAGTTGTGATTCCTCGACTGTAAGATGAAGTACCCATAATAGCCACTTCCAATTGTATCTACCAATTTAACTGCGCTTGTGGAGCGGGTTATATTGGCTGTTGATCTAGGAACCTGATTTTTCGTGGCTCGTTGGGAATTTATACCAGTGTGGCTCAGTAAAGGAGTAGTAAAAGCCATCAACACTTCGATATTAGACCACCTGGTCCAAACCAGCCACAAAGCCTGCCAGCATTGAAGAATCCTCCACCATCATCTACCGGGTGCCTAATAAATTGCCAAAAACAACGAAGCACAGCATGCTCCAAACAGCAGAGGCTATTGGAATTCGTCTCAAGTAACCAGTGCTCTGTGTGCACAAGAAACAGGTCCAGCCCTTACTACTGCCCCGGTTTTCAGTAGAGGCAATAAATTCATGACTACACTTCGACTACACTTGTAGAGATACTAACACCAGGTATATGATTACGGTATCCTAGAATTTCCTAACACCACCCATCTTGATTACGCTCCTGTCCGAATAAAGTCAAAAACACTTTGATACTAGGTCACCTCATCAATACAAGATATCAAGTATATCCCCAACTCAGCTTTTAAAGCTATTTATCGCATCTCAGCCACGCTCTAAGAGTCGTACTCTTAGGTAGAATAGGAGGGATTACAATCGAACGAGAAATTAATAATAATTATTATTATTACTGGAATGGGCTACTCAAGATGACACTTTACTAAGCTTCAGCAATACATTATGTGGCCTCTTTAACTCCATAAGGAGCCTCAAGGAATCAATAAAAATGTGCAGTATAATATGTACTAATAATTGATACCAGCAGATGAAGACTTCGCCTGTTAAACACTGCTGCTTACCAGATAGAGGGAGAGGCGGTGAAATTCCGCTTCGAATTGCACACATTACAAATAACTAGTAGCATTCTAGTTATTAAAAACTCATCCAAACTTTCTATTCATTCTTTGTGTTCCAAGTTTAACATGGGACTGCAGGCCTCACAACCAATCTACCCTCTTTTAAAGACTAGTAAACTAGGCGATCTAACAGAGCATCAACCGAAAATTGAACCCGCACCACACACAAACATTCCATTATTCAGCCACCACATCACCAAGTAACTAACCAAAAATTTGAGTAATCTGAACTGATTTGGATCCTTTAACGACGTCACACTCCTTAGATTATTGATAACTACTCGAGGCGAAACAGCCATCTTGTGTTTTAGTCATACAGTTTGCCTAACAAATGATTTCCGGCCACTCATATCAATCAGTTGCATGTATCAAATTACTACTACAATCCTTTTTCCATTTACAGCTACTTAATTACCGAGAAAAAACTAAAGAAGTGCTTACAATTCTAGCTACTCAAAATCCTAAAATCAAGGTGATACAGCTTATTCTCTATTGAAGTTATGAATCTCTTCGGTAGTTAGAAAAAACTAAGACTATTCTTTATTAAATTTATTAAAACTAAGATTACAGATGCTTTCAATATTTTCGTAACATTTAACCGGAAACGACATTTATTAGCAAACGCTAACACAATTGCAATTCTAATTAACAAACTGAAAATACGGAAGTGAGGGAATAAATGAAATTACTTCTCCTTAACATTTTCAAAACAAACATAAGTAAAGCATAGGTATGTGTACGCATACAACAGGTTACTTCTCATTTACAGCATACAGGAAACGAGATTTTCATAAAAATCACTATTAAGAATGCTTGATCCGCTTGGTGAACGATGACTTCTTAGAAAGTTAAACCTGTATTATAATACGCCAAACATACTTCACCGCTTTGTATGCAAATGGCTTGGTCTGGGTTCTTTTTATTTTTGGCGAATACTCTGAGGAATCATTATTATTAACATTATTATTTCCTTTAATTCCTAGAGGAACATAGGGCTTCAGCCGTGCGTCTCCATTGCGTTCGGTTCTCTGCTAGAGTCTTCACCTGTCTCCATGTCTGCCCACACGTTTTCATCTCCTCTTCACATCACCTCCTCCAAGTCACCCTTGCACTGACGACCAACTCGCCGCTTCCCTTTCGAGTTCCACTCGAGCGATGGCTTGTCTAGTGATGTCACTTGATGGT